AATAGTAGTGCGAGTCGAAAACGAGCGTTAAAGCCTTTAATATGTCTTCAAATATAAATAAACATTTCGTTGATATTTTCAGTAGTAAATGGTACCAATAACAGCACACTTGAGCAATGCAATTGTAGTGGATAAAATGGTTAATTTTTCCGTGCAGTACTGTACGGGTTATACGCTCCTCACCGGTTAAGAGTTTGGCCGAGAGTTGTCTCCTTCCTTTTCTGGCCTAGTGCTGTTCTTTTCTACTTTGCGCCGGTCAAACTGAAGGTCACATCGCTACAGAAAGTAAACGAAGTATACTAAATTATTCCCAATTATCTTATCGACAATCACATTGTAATCTAATCTAAATCTTTCTCTGACCCTTTCCTGCTTCAAATGTGTCTGTAACTGGCCTCCAAGGCGTCCTACCATACTCCCTCTCCTTTTTCTTATCGACTTCCGTAGTCTTCCTATTTTTAACGTCTTTCTAAATTAACTGATCATAAGCACTGAGTTGACCCTGCGCTATCCTTTACTTTACATCCAAATAGATGAATACATTTCATGATTTTTAGAGCAGAAATCTTCAATAACATCAGTTTTGAAAGCTCTTTATGAATTCTGGATTACATCCATGTTCGCTGCAAATTGAAACTCCATTTACAAATGAAACACTAAGTCGGATTTTAGAGGTTTGCTGAAAAGCCGAATGAATCGTTCGTGTTTTTGCAATTAGATCCTCGGTTCGATTGATTCCTTGGTATCTTCAAATAAAAGCTTGCAGCAGCAGTAGTCGTGAACTAATTTAAGTTTTGTGTGACGATTAATTACACCAGTAATCAGACTCTTATGCTTTACGACGACGAGGAGTTTGCCTTGTAATTTCACTTGGTAATCGAGTTAATGTTCACTTGGGAAATTTTACGGTTTAAACTATCGATTTCTCAATTAGTGTATAGACACCACGTCTAAAGTATTAGATAATTCCTTAAAGAAACACCAATTACGTTCAACCATTTTGAGTGAGCACACCTGGAACGGTATCATTTTAATTAAGAACATCGATATCCTCTCCGAATCCTTTAAATATACTGAATGACCAACCATCAAAAAGGACTTCAAACATGCAAATAATTAGAATATTATACTTATACGATGTGACCTTCAGTTTGACCGGCGCAAAGTAGAAAAGAACAGCACTAGGCCAGAAAAGGAAGGAGACAACTCTTAACCGGTGAGGAGCGTATAATCCGTACAGTACTGCACGGAAAAATTGACCGTTTTATCCACTACAATTGCATTGCTCAAATGTGCTGTTATTGGTACCATTTACTACTGAAAATATCAACGAGATGTTTATATATATTTGAAGACATATTAAAGGCTTCAACGCTTGCTTTCGACTCGCACTACTATTCATGTTTGAACGAAACTTTTGGCAGGTACTGTATGAAAAAGTATGTTTAATGAACAAGAGTCGAGAGTATAATGAGCTTTTTTCTTCCTACCTACGATTTTGCCAGCGCGCATCCAGGACGGAACGGGCACATCGCTAGAGAAAGTAAATGAAGTATACTTCATCTTATTTTTTTTAATTTACTTTGTATTGTTTACTGGCGGTGACAACTAACAAAAAAGATGTCTAACTGAATTACATCAGTACAGATACTTATTCGTTTGCAATTTTGCTTTCAGACATCCATGATTGAAGAGCTAAGATGAAAATAAGACATTAGCGAAGAAAGTTCTGCATAAATTAGGAACTTTCGTAGAAAATCGAAAGAAAGAAAGAGTAAATTATCGAATTAACATTTTAATAAGACTGGGACGTCTATTCACATGGACAGACACAGACGTATTGTATTACGTTTCCACTTAATTTTTCTAATAAACCATTCCCTCAAGAAATCATCAGATATAATGGGAAAAGTAATAAAGATGTTGATTACAATAAAGGCATCAGCACACCCCACAAAATAATATTATCTGTACAGGCCATTGTGACTCGGCCATCTGGCAACTAATAGCATTTCTCCAATAACAATTCCACAGAACGTGATTATATTTTCGGTCTTTATTTCACGGGGATCGATAGATTTATTTGGAAGAAAATGTTTGGTTTTCAATCGGCAACTACCCTGAGCAAAAGAATAACTACATTTTACACTCAGCGGGTAAAAAAAGTTTTTAAGTTCAAATTACGTTATTTCAAATATTGATTCAAAAGAAATAAAAACCAATTCGCCGGAAATACCAAGAAAAAAATTTCGAAGAAGTACCCCCGAAAGGTGGATGAGTTTCAATAACGAGATTGTGAGTTAGAATCAAATTTTGTTTAGTTTGGTTCTACGAATTGACTTTTAGGCGATAACGAAGCATTAATGGCGGTCGACTTTAAAACTTTTTGCGGTTTCATTCAATTTTATGGGCGACTTTACAGAAGGCTCCCCCGCTTTAGCTCTTTAGCTTAATAAGCATTTAAAAAGATAAATTCTCGATAGATATAGGATCGCTTTCAGCTTAATTTTCATTGAAGTCGAAGGCTTTTAAAAATTGAAATTTAAAACAAAACAATACTTCAATATCGCAAAGAGTACGAGTTTCTGAGCGTGATATTTTCATTAAATATACGCATAGATAACTGAATGTGTAATAGTGATGAGTGCTCGAATTAAATTTGATATTTTGAAAAGAAAATGTCAAGCACAAGTTACAAATCTTGCGAAATCCAATAATCTATTCATTTTACACTGTCTGAACTACAATTCATGTAATTCTTCTCGACGACTTATTGCACGATCCGAAGTTGCTTATTTGGATTTCGAAATCCCTCAAAATCCCCGATATCGCTTCGGTGGATCCGATATTCATGCGTGACTTGCGCCCGAAAAAAAACCCATCGATTTCCTTCGAGAAACAAAAAAGTCGAACGGTAAAACATGTTTTCTTTTCGCATTTGTGACAAAACAAATGATAACGGTCACTTGTATTAAAATCCTCGCAAATGAATTGTCAACAGATATTTCTCCTCTTCAACAATATATATTTCAGTTGAGTCGATCGGTAAATACAATCGACCACTTCTTGCCTGCGGTCAAGTTTTTACTACCACGGGACCACCACGACGACATGGCGTTCACGAACGCTGTGCATCCGTCTACAAATTATTCGCATCATGAACATTCCTTTTAGTCCGTAACGTAGAACCGTTTACGTTTTGCGCAGTCTTTGCCCGCCACATGCTGGGCAAATGAATGCGGTAAGTTTGACGAATGGGGTAGATTTCGGGGATTAGCCGTAGAGGTGAAAGGATTCCAACTTTGCCACCCCAACAAAGCATATGCCTCGCTCTTGCACACGACAAACAGCAATAATTCGTTCGCATTGTCTAACTTTGAATAGCCACCATGAACGTTTTTGGTTCTTGTAATCATCTTCAATCAAACACTCACGACAATAAGTATGTGCACGATATCATATAGTTTTGTCGTTATTAATGCAACCACCTATCGTAGCGCAGTGCTTACAGCGCTGGTGCGTAAAGCCAAAGGTCCCGAGTTCGATTCCCGGTGAGAGTGACATAAATTTGTGGTGAATAAAAATAAATGGAATTGACTTGAGATACAAACGATGCCTAAACCGAATGTACAAACACACTATATCCTAGTCGGTGGGTGATAAGTGTACAGTTGATGATGACGATAGTTCTATTCCTACTTCAATCATGAAAAGGGTTAAAGAAATTCCTAGAGGCAAACATCATACGGACGCATTTAAAGAAAACGCTGGCGATGCGTAGTGATTGGTTATCCGAAACTGCCTATCAATTCCATGCCCATCAGGCTCTTCCAGTTGGTTATCAAAATTTATTAACCATTACAAGTTGCCGTTAGATGCGTTAGCACTAAATTTTACATTGTAAAGCATCCCCTAATCAATTGGAATGGTAGAGAGGTCGTTATGACTCGGTATTACAACTACATTTATGAGAACATTCCCCTAAATTAATACATTTCGTTTTCGCGCTTTCCCCGATTTGTTTTTAGCATTATGAACACGCTAGCTCACAGGTTTCATTTGATGCCAGTTACACAAATCGTTACACCGCATAATTCGTCTGAAATTTAGTTATGGCATTACGAAAGGGATGAAAGCCAAAACTGTTATTGAACTGAAAGGGAATATTATACCACTACATTATACCCATATAAGTAAAAGGTTAGTAAATAAAGAGACCAGAACCAATTTGTCTCAATTGTAAACAAGTAATAATTGCTTTATTTAACAGATAATACGTAACCGTATGTACAAGTCAGTTAGTAGTAAATAAGACAGAATACATATATATGAAAAGACTATTCCTACAGCTGCCTTTAAAAAGACAAAAACAATTTCTTCGTAGCATGTTCCTCGACATCATACAATTGCTATTGTCTTTAGAAAGACAGAAGAAGGAATTCGATCTTCTGCAATATATCTTCCGATCCGTTAGCCAGGTCAAACTGGCGTTTTATCATTCGATTAAATGGAAATTGTGTTTGCATATCTTTTAATTAATCAAAATCGTTGTGGAATACAACCATCAATCGTAATCTTAACTGTGTTCCTAGTAAATTTTATGCCTTCTTGAAGCCTATGAAGTCAATTCATATGTGTTTCTAGTAAGTACCTAATAAGCGACTTGGTCCGACCGAGTCGTAATAATGTTTTCATCGTCTGAGAAAGGAGCAGCAAAAAGTGGAATGATTCCATGGACAGTTATTATTTAAAAGCGAAATCATGCCAGGCATCGCAGGTCTTCACGTACCATCGTCAGCCATCCATCGGTCTGTCCATCTCGCGAAATAATTTAAATGCAAAAATACGAAGCTCAAAGAGAGAGAGTGGTTAGTAAAGGTATAGAGCGGTGAGGTGCGCAGGGGCAATAACCTGTCTGCGAACGCAATGTCGTGCACCAAGTACACGCGGTTTGCTTCGCTTTTATTCCATCCACGTTACAACAACACAACTCAACTCACCGTGGTGGAATATGGCTGGCAGCTGAGACGTATCCCATCCTGAGACAATTTGTCTCGGAGAAGAGCTTGCAGCTTGATCCGCGGAATCCTGACCAATTCCGCTTTACCCTCTTCGTACTCGTCCATCTGACGGATGCCGGAGGATCCTTCTGACCCGGGAGACGTGGTCATCACTACAACATTCCTGCCGCTGTTGTCACTGGCTGGGCCAACGTTAGCGATTACGGCGGCTGCCGCTGCCGATGTTACGGTCACGGTTGTTTCCTTCTCCGACGAAGAAGTTTGTGAATGGGCACTGACACTATCACAATAACACTCGTCCTGTACCGCCGCAACCGTCTCCTCCAATGTGAAATATACGGAAGCGGCTCCTTCTTCGCGCAACGTGCGTACCGACTCAAGCAATCGGGTCCGATGCACCGGATTGAAGACGCCGATCGCGTCCAAATCCGGATCTCCGATCTGCTTGCATATCTCCAAATCGTCATACCCATTGTCGATAAAACTGTCCGCGTACTGGCCCAAACACAACGACTTCAACCATTCCCTGACTATGTTACTGGTCAATGTTGTCGAGCACATTGTCTTTCTTATTCACTGGAAACAGGAGTCAGTTAGTTGTCGTCAGTTTTCCAGAGATTCGCGCACCTCCTCTCTAACTCACCATCACTCGTCGAAGACTGGCTTTCGGTTTTTCACCGAGACGACTAGCGTCGACCCTCTGCGCCTGTGGAACGAAAAGGACCGAATGTGCGCGACAGAGAACGACAACAGAACGCAAAGTATGTCTCGCGTCGATGTTTCCCTGTCACCTGCATATCTGAAGCATGAGTGCACTGCGAGCCAAAGAACACAACCAGAGAAAGGTCATTACGGACTGCTCTATCCGGCGATACGAATGCGGCGACCGTAGCAATTGCTTGTGTGTATGGTCGTTCTCTTTTTCTTCTTTGTCTCTCCGCTAACCGAATTAATGCCTCTGCTGGTGCTGGTGCTGGTAGGTAGGTACTGCTGGCTGGACGACGATGACGACCAGCCGGAGCGCCCGTATGCCGTATGTGCCAGGCTAATTTTAAACTCGTCAAGTGCAGGGCATTACATAATACAGCTGAAGGATTCTTCAGTCAGTTTCGATAGAAAATAGCAGACAATTTTCGAAAGACATAAGAAAAATCACCATCAAATTAGCAATTTCCTCATGGAAGAGTAAACCACAAATGGAACTCCATCAGCTCAGTTTCTTCATTCCATTTGGGGAAGTCCTGAGATCATTGGGTATCTCTTGATGTTATGATAAAGTCAGGATTTTACTTGAAATTTCCGGACATCAAAAGGATCTTCTAATTTTAAGATTGTCAAGTGCAAGGCATAGCACAGAGCTTTCAAGAACTTCAGTTTTTCTTCATTTCTTTCTGAGAAGTTTCACGATGGTGTTACTTTTCTGTTTCTCATGGTAATTATCTAAATCTTCGAGATTCATAAGATGGTGTCACTCTTTTGTTTCTTATGTTAATTATCTAAATCTTCAATCTATGAGATTAAAGATGACTTCATGGGCGTTATCCATCATCTCATTTTGATGAACATCTGCTCTTTTCTGTTTTTGGTCAACCCGTAGTCTCGTCGTCAGAGAAATGACAAATATCTCCTCAAATCCAACACGAAAAGTGCAGTTTCAAAAATTACAAAATTACTTCTCCAACCATCTATTCATTCCATCTTCAGGATTGCTTCCCGCTCATCTCAGAGCCTCTCAGCATACCTGCACTGCACATACGTACCTGTATACATATAATGTGCATCGCATGCTTTATATCCACTTGTTTTCTCAATTACAGTTGATGGCATATGCCCAAACACCTCGTTCCCGTTATTCTCAGATTTCGGGATAGTGCAGAGAACGCGCGTAGACACTCGTCAAGTGAGTTTCTATGGAGAATCACAAAGCGACACATTTTTGTCTCGTAAAACCGCACTGTCTGGGAAAAAGAGTTGTTCCGATTCTCTCATGCATGCATGTCACTACTGACTCCATTCAAAACGCATCCACTTCCTACATTAACTACGTAATGGCTTTTATCAGACGAACAAGGCAAAGCGTAAAAAACGGGAGAGAGTGAAAGAGAAAGAAAGCCAGGAACAGAACAACCAACACCAGACGCTGCTACTGCTGCTGCTCTACTAAAGAAGAACAAAAAAAAAGGAGAGGAATTGCAAGGTGCAACTGTTTCATGTGCTAGAGTAAACGGAAAGGGGTCGTTACCCTTCCATGCACACAAGGCTGCAGCAGTACATCTCCAACGAAACACCTACCACCACCACTACCACCACCACCACCACTGCCACTGCTGTGACTCCGACTACATGCATGTGTAAGTCGAAAGTACTACATGAGTATTATGTCGGAAAAGGCGACACTTTAAACCGAAGTAGCGCTAACAAGCAAAAGTGAACCTTACCCTAATAACAGACGCTAGAACTCTAGTGGACAGAAAAGAAAAATGCTCGCAAGAATTCTTTTCAATTGCATTTCAACTTACCATAGACTCAAAATTCATTCGCAGAAAATAATGGGAGTCATTGAAAGTCCTTCTAATTATTCAAATTCAAAATATTTCGATATTTTTCCGGTCAGGTTTTCACAACATACTGCATTGTTTTTTAGTTTTTTTCACGTTTCTTGTTCTATTGACTAAAACAGTGCAGAAAAGCGTGAGAGACGCTGACGATTTTCTAATGGTTCCTAAAGATTTCAATTGCTTGTCAGAAAATAATTCTTATTGGATTATCAATCCGATCCGACGAGACTTGAACCTTGACGAAGTTCTTGTACAAACTAGAGTGGATGGATCGGCTTGCGAGTTTCGATGATTTAGGGAGCCGGACCATAATGGAGGAGTTCTTAAAGAGAAACCAGACTAGGACAAGTACCTGAAGGAGGACATCTGCTCCTTCAGTACTCAGGTTGGCAGAGATCACGAGGATCGGTATGGCGTTCTGATGCACAATACTGTAATGTGGAAGGCATTGGGAAACCACCACAGTATGGTATCCGAAGAAAAACAAACCGAACTCAATGGTAAAGTAAAGCAGTCCAGACGTAAACTAGTCCCCCATTCGGATGTACGGGCAGGGATTACCTCATAGACCTAGATTGGATTACTGTTCGCAAATAGTTGAGGATGAGGGATGTTCTCGTTTTAGGGAAATGGGAAGACTAGCTAAAGATAGGAAAAAGTGGACATGCGAGTCCAACTAGTCTTAGAACTGACGACCTTATGATGATGATTATTTGGGTTCTTTTCTGTCTCTCTTCTTTATGAATCCACCGGAAGGTGATTTTGCCGGGTACCAGATAAATTATTATTTGTGGTGGTGTTTGTCATGGCGTCATTATCCGGATTCCAAAGAAAGTTCCGAATCCGTCGGGTACCGAATCCAAATCGGGTACCCGACCCATCTTTACTCATTTTCATTTTTTTTTCTTGCTAATTAAATTTGACGCAAAATTATTCGGCAGTTTAGGGACGTAAAAATAAGAAAAGTGTCAGACACAATCTTGCCACACACCCCATACTTCATTCGAAAACGTTTTCTCAGATCGCTTAAGGATCATTTGTTTCCTATCACTTCTTCCCTACCGTCTTTGATGAACAAAACGATTAATCAACATTCGACAGGGTTCAGAGTGCGGGTTACGTCTCCCGCGGGAGTTGTTGTCGCTTTCGTTCGGTCTGTACCAGAGGTTGCACTTTGCACAAAGCTTGCATTTTCTCGGCACCCTTCAAACTTTTTCCAACGGCCCTGATAAAAGCCATTATAACGTCATTAATGCACCAAGTGGAAAGCCGGAACGCGACGCATATGTTTACATTAGCGTCGAGTATATTTTATACCTGATGGTGGAAAAAAATACACCGAAACTCCGTGAAATATTGACGGGACCATTTTTGGGGACGAACGGGATACGATTTGCATGTCATGAATTTTTACTGGCGGGAATAAAGGAAGAACAAGTGTGCCGATGTTGACGTTCAGGCTTTTCACTACTACGTAACGGTTTGCGGTTATGAATAGATGAACAACGATGGAGATTAATGGTTTTTTTTTTAAAACTAACCAGAAAAACCAACATATTTTATCGGGCATAGTATTTTTGACATGTAGTGTACAATAGGCCGACGACATTTATTTTCTTGAGCTATCTATAAGTGTATGTTTGTTTATTGACTTAACAGATAATCTTTATCTTTATTAATATACCTTAACCTCCCGAGATAAAAAAATCTCTGAAAGCCAGACTCGAATCTCCGTCTCTCATCGAGTCTCTCTGGTGTCGCTGAGAGATACTGTCCAGAGACTGTCAAAAAAACTGTTTAGCGTTCTTGAACGAGAGACTCGAGTCGCTCATAGAGAGATCCTCATTTCGTATCAAGTCTCTGAACGAGAGACTCGAATCTCTGAACGAGAGCCTCGGATCTCTCAATAAGTGATGTCTCGATAGACATGGTTAAAATTCAACATATTTCAGAGATCCCAGTCTTTCTACGAGAGACTCGAGTCTCTCAATTTTTCAGTTTTATTCATTCAGTCTCTCTGTGAGAGACTCGAATCTCTGAATGAACAATTTTACCGTTCGAGTCTCTCAAGACAGAGACTGTGAGAGATCCACTAGGCAATAACTGAGCGACTGTAAAAGACTGTGAGAGAGGCTCCCAAAGACTCTAAGAGACTGGAGAGAGACTGAGAGACTCGAGTCGCTCATAGAGAGATCCTCATTTCGTATTCAGTCTCTGAACGAGAGACACGAGTCGCTCATAGAGAGATCCTCATTTCGTATTCAGTTTCTGAACGAGAGACTCGAATCTTTGAATAAGTGGTGTCTCGATAGACATGGTTAAAATTTTCTAAGTTCAACATATTTCAGAGATCCCTGTCTTTCTAAGGGAGACTCGAGTCTCTCAATTTTTCAGTTTTATTCATTCAGTCTCTCTGTGAGAGACTGGAATCTCTGAATTAACAATTTTATCGTTCGATTCTCTCATAAAGAGACTGTGAGAGATCCATAAAAACACCTAGGCAGTAACTGAGAGGCTGTGAAAGATTATGAGAGACGCTCTCAGAGACGCTGAAAGACTCTGTGAGACTGGAAAGAGACTGAAAATTTTTGTCTAGGGCTATAATTAACATAATATTTATGATATTATAGCGGTTCATGTATGGGCACCCTATTATTGGTAACATTTAATAAAATTTTATTTTAATTATTTCTCTACACTGTACATGTATTCCTCTACCCTTCACAGCCGTTACTGACTGTAAACACCCTGTAAATACCGATTCATACCCCTTTGTACCGCCAAAAAAAAGAATGACAAAATCACCTGAAAATCTACGTTCTCAGACAATATGTTTCTCTCTCTCTCTCTCTTATTCTTTTAAGCGATCCCTTTGTAGTCGCTGATCTTTTCGGCTGATTTTCTTTATTTTTCCTCTGATGTTTCCGGCTTGTCGATGACGCCTGTCGGCTCATCGTCTTTTCTCTTTTTCGACGACGTCGCCGACGTCGCGTCGGTACGATATGAATTCATAATTTCGGACACTTTGCGTCGAAGTATTCGTCTAATGACCGTGATAACGTCCTACAATTGCACTCGAGCCCTTCGCCTAGACGTACAGTGAAGAAGAAAAAGTAGCGTACACAGACGTCGGACTCGCCGCGAGCTCTCGTTCAAAAGAAGAGAAGAAATAATAATAATAATAATGTCTACGCTTAAGTTCTCTTGATGCTTGAATAGCAGACAAGCCAGGGCACTTCAGATGTTCCGAGCTTTTCACTTG